GCGATCTACAAGGTGCCTTCAAACTATTCAAAATCCCTTGGACAGCATCTGTTGGCTACGGGAGAGGCGGCCGCCATCAGGCTATGCCGACCTGTCCTGTGCGCCCAAAAGAATTTCGTCGCGGCGCCGCAATTACCATGGGCGAATTAGCTAACATGACTGCACACGGTGGATCACTGGCCTCGGAAACGGGCCCTCACAGAGGCGAACAAGTCCCACATCCCACCACGCACACCTTATCACCTGTCTAGGACGCCGGGCCGTCGAGACACTGAAATTTTGACCCTCCCACACCCCCTTCCTCCCCTCCCCCACCGACCCTGACAAAAACAACACCAAATCTATCCTCCAACCGGCATAGTTTATTTATTTAATTACCATATAAATGTAAAGGCCTGACGAGAATTTATCTAAAAAATAATAAGTCAAAAAAGACAATTACCCGGCTGATCCTAATACTTGAGATTGAAAGGATACGTAATTTTGCATAACTGGTTCTGCTCCCCCGCCCCAGTAGTGGTAGCTCAGATAGTAGATGGCTCGACTAAAATTCGAAAGGTCGATAGTCTGACTTCTAATGTATAAACTGTGTATTCCTAGGCGGCTCGAAATGCTGTCATGAACAGCTATCAAATGGAAAATGCGTTTGCTTAGTTTGGTTTTTTAAGCAGCTGACGAAGTTTTCCTCTCAGTTTCGCTACTAGGTGTGCTAACTCATATGCGTATTTTGTATATGTGTATCTCCTTATGGACACCAAGTCTGTAGATTTCCTACTGCAGGTGTTTGTGTGTTTCAGTTAACAGATCTGATGTCATCTGCCTGCCTTAAGTTTAAAGAGACATTTTACTGACTGTAAATTCAGTAGCAATAATTTTGCATATATTTTAATATCAGTTCATACCGGACGGCCTTGGCAAACGCAAGAATGGAGGTATTTATGGTAGAACAGTGTGCGGTTTAGGGTGGGTTCGCTGGAGATGGAGCCCTTTCAATTTCAGCATGCGAAGGGGCTTGATTCAGAATGAAAGGCAAAATAGGTAGTGCAAAAGCTGGTAAGGCGGAAATAAAGTGGACAGTAGGCGAAATTGTATTAAAAAATAGGCAACAAGGCCCAGCAGCGCTATATCATCAGGACTGTCTTTCCTGCCTAATCGACACAATGGGGGCACTAAGCGTCACTGGAAGTCTTAATTCTCAGGAAAATATAAAGAATTTAAAATCAATTTAAAAAATACGCCTCCTAAGAATGTTTCATGATTCACCATCTTGACAGAACAGGTGCTGGCCCAAAACTCGAACACCCATTTCTTTGCTTTTATGCCGTTGGATGACGTAATTTCGAGGCGTATGGCTCATCATTGGGTCCCCCAGCGTTCCCCATGCATACATTCTAGTGGGTAAATTCGAAACTTTTAATCTCTTTAGAGCTAATCTCAATGAGCTAATTTTTAGAAAATCCATGAACGGAAACCTTTTCAGTCTTGATTTCATTGTGGATAAGAATACTTGAGCCGAAATCAATCAACTTCAGCTGACAGACGCCTAATAAACGCAGACAGAGAGATAGTAAAATGCATATTTTGTATAATGTGCCAGTCTGTCAGCATAAGTATTATTTATCTAGGTTATATGTTATAGTTGGCGAAGAAAATAAATCGTTTGGATCAACCGTTAGTTTAGACTTCTATCAGTTTTCGGGGTTATAATTAAAAATATACGATAAGCAACAAAGCGAATACCTTAAACTCTGAATTGGCCAAATAAATCAATCTCCAGTCACTGTCGGCGGCTTTATCGATATCAGTGTCAGTCAGGAATCATGCGGCTGTGTTGTGTCTTTCCGACTGATTGCCTAGCTCCCCAGTTGTGTTATCTTCTTTGCCCATCTTTGTATGTCCTTGAAGTTAAATCTAAAAACTGGCTCGAGATTTCAATAAAATATTCTTCTTAATGATCAACTTTCCTTCTTTAGCTTTTACATAAATTATTGCTTAACTTAATTTGCGACAGTTAAGAGTATGAAGCATAGTCCTGGATTTATTTTTCCTCTAAACCACGATTGACTTTCGGCAGCGTTTCATCGTTTCTCCATCATTATAACTTGTTCCCAGAAAAAAAACTTTCTAATAACTAAGTACATTTTTTATATTGATGTCTGGATTTGCGCAAAGTTCACATTTTTCCAGAAAATAATTAGAAAACTTCATTTGTAATAGCCACTGCTTAGGACAGTGCCTCTATTTTAAACCAGATCCTAACGCCGCAAAATATGTTCATCATTTGAAGCCTAATCAGCAACGCAACCATGTTAAAACACTACAAAGTAAAATTTAGGAAAACCGTTAAAGCTAAACGGTTGGCAGGGCAATGTGTAAATCAGGGAGCCGGATGTTACCAAGGCAAAGTTAGGTTAACTACATGATCGCATTACTTACTTACGTCAGGTTTTTATCGTCGTATATAGGCTACCTGCAGGTAGCGCAAGGAACGCGTTGTTCGTGCACAAGCAAGTACTCGGAAAGAAGTTTTGAAGTCCTCATACATTATTCACGTTATACAGCGAGAAGAAGTAGCTGCCGAGAATGTATGGATCCATTAAATTCTGCTGTTTATGCAATCGTCAAATAATCTAACATTACTTATCTAGCGCTTGCTAAGCTGACTGATGTCAGATCTCCTAGTCGATTGAAACACCCCCTGATATTTTAGTTTATCCTTCATCGACCTACTTCCAAACGCGGTTATTACACCGAAGCATGTGCCATTGCGGACGAAGTTCGCCTTCACTGACTACCAGCCGACACAACCACTCTCTAAAGTTGTGCGTGTCAAGGAGGTGCGTAAGAACCTACTGACGGGACCTGGTGCTGCTTTCGAGGGAGATGTTGGAAGACTTTTGGGTGCAGAAGCCGTCCAATTGGGAGATGCTCCCGAACCTGCCTTATCCTCCCTGTAGTGCAGCACCACCTAAAAGGAAGCCTTCAAGGAACACTCAGCCGGCTATAATGCGGAGGTAATTCATGGCCAGAAGATGACCTATCCGGAAAGAAGTAAAAAGGTACTTGATGCGATTTGTTAAGGTTTTCTGTTATAACAGCTGCTGCGATGCCCTCCTTTACCGGCGCCCCGAAGACTGCGACAAGCTTGCGCACCGCGAAAGCACGGCAGCCCTTCAGGCTTGATCTGAGCATCTTAGTCACCGGTGCGTCCACAACTGGGGCTACCTTATGCGCATCTACCGGTCTGCTTTGTCACGACGGGACCCTTGTTTTTATAAATTCCAGACTAAGTCCTTGAATCAGCCAATCACGGTTCCAACAC